AACCTCTGTACTAACTAGGATATGTTGGAAGTAATATTAATTCCTGCAAAACACTTTATTATCCAATCTTGGTCTAACCTATTGAGCTGATCTGTCAGTACTTGGCAGAGTAGTGGAAAGAGAAACCACCTTAAGCTAAAGCATCCTGAGGTTTTTCGTCATGGGCAGCTATTAACAAATGCACTGATCCAAGGCTTGCCTAGCACTAAGCTTTCTGCCTCAACCCTCTGGTGTCTCTCATCTTTTCTTAAAGGAGAAAGCCAAATCTTTTTTCTATCACAGAACAGTATTTCTGGGGCCAGCTTTCAAAGAGTGTGGCATTGTTCACTACATTGTAATTCTGAAAGAAGACACTCTTTAAAACCTGTGAGCATCTACTTCTGTAATAGAGTCCAAAGAAAACTACACTTCTTCTGACTCCACTATTGTAAAAGAACTCTTCTTTCACTAGTCTTGTACAGGAATTTCCTAGAAGATTCAAATGAAATAAGCATACATGCACACATCCAGGTTTAACTCAAAGTAAAGCAAGGCAAAGCACTTTTAAAAAAATCTCACCTAGGTTTGATTTTTTAAAAAAGTACATTAAAAAAGAAAAAAAATACCTTTGCAAATATAGTCTTGACATAAATTGGCAGGTCTCCATGGGGACTTCCATAACCCCCTACAATACTAAACCCCAATCCTTCAGAGCCTTTCTCCAAAGTAATAATCTTAGGTGGAGGTGTTCTGAAAACACAATGCACGCTGTTTAATTCAAGAATAGATACTGAGAGGGAATTTCATTTTAATGGAAGAACACAGATTTGAGAGAGACTTTCATACTGCGAAACTATGAAGCTTGGTTTATCAAATCAAACTCTCAGAGAGCAATCTAGAAACATTTTAAAATTTCCCACGTCATGCTATATTCTTAATGTTTTAGGGGTTTCTAATGTTCCAATATTCCTAATGTTTTAGGGGTTTCTCTTTCATAAAACCCATTGCTTTTTTATTAGAAATAAAGCCATGATGCTGGAATTGTCAAAGCAGTCATCCATAGGCTTAATTTTTAATTCTTAAGCTTACTGTTGAAAGCTGAAGAACGCTATCTTCCTACCCTTGAAGAAAGTGCATGGAGACCGAGGTAGCGTCACCTTAGCACAGTCTGTTAGGACACAAGTCCACCTGAGGACTGGTAGGTTCCCTCCCATTCCCCACTCCTCAACCTGTAGAGATGGAATTTTTTTTAAGGCACATGGTTTCCAGATGGGGAAGGGAACATTCAAGGTCATCTGTTGGTCCCCTAAGTGACTTCTCTATGCAGATGATGTATTATTCTGGGGTAGAGGATTGATTAGAAGGGGAAAACCAGCCATTCGTAAGGCTGATGTAATGCATGAGGGGAGAGAATTTTGGGTAAGGCGTGAGATGGTGAGAAAAAGAAAGACTTTGGCAAGGAAGAGAAGGTATTTGAACGAGTGGCTGAAGCTGCTCACAGACCTAGAGCTGTGGAGCTGTCTCAGCCTGGCCCTGGGCTGTCTGTCTGTCCGTGACACTCCAGTCCTCAGGTGGACTTGTGTGCCAAACAGGCAACAGCAGCCTGATTGCTCAGAAAACTACGGCTCCTTTTCTGCCTGCATGCCCTGGCCGCTATCCCACCACTTCCACACTTCACCCAGGGTGGGAACTCATTCCTCAAAGCTCACCTCCAAGGTGAGGCTCTCCCAACTCCCTCGGGAGGGTGAGCCACGTCCTTCTCCGTGCTCCCTCTGCACTGGTCCACATTTCCATTCTGGCACTTACTACATCGTGTTGTAATTACTTAACCATCTTTCTCCTCCACCAGACTGAACTCCTTAAGTCTTAGTCCGCTGAGTGTTCCCAGCACCATGCATGGTGCCTGTCATAAACTCAGGGTCATGACTGTGTACATGAGAAACGAAACCCAGGAGAGAGGAGAGAAACCAGGTGAGGCAAAATGGATAAAGAAAAAATCTGTTTCAAATGTGTAATTTAGATTTTCAAAGCTTCGTCCAGTGTGGAAGTCTTCTCTCTCAGAAACAACATGGCTAAAAATTAAATTACCTATGTGGACCCAAGTGATTAAATCTAAGCTTAGCTGATGCCAATTTCTTATTCCCAAAGGCTACTGTCCAAAGGGTAAAAACCTAAGGAACTCTTGCACCCAGACCCTGTCTTATTTGTGTAGGAGGCTCGCACTTGTGTGCCGGCAGCATCACTTTTTTCATGGCAACATGCATGTCTGAGAGGCAGAGTCATCAGATGTAAACTCAGCCATTCACGTACTTAGAGAAATCTGCAAAATGGGGACCTTTGAACCTGCTGTTCCGTCTAACTAGAATATTCTCCCTTCTCCACCTCCTCAATTTTGCCTAGCTTATTTTAGGGTTGATTTTCAGCTGGTTCACATGGATTCCAGCTGTTTGTTGATGTACTTACTGGTTGTTTCTAGAAGGCGTCCACAGTAATTGCTGATGGTCTAAGCCATTTAAACTGTTAACTGTTTTGAAGGCCACCTTGTGTATTGCAATTCTTTTAAAACTCAACTCGAGCATTAGTTTCTCCAAGTATGTGCCCTATTTGAAATATGCCCCATGTCCATGGTTTCATAGGACCTCTCTCAATGAACTTAGTGGTCCTACTATTATCGACTCCTTTATAACCATGGATTTATGGGTCTGTTTTTCCAATTCTCTGGCAGCTCCCTGAGCCTGGGGCAATATCTTTACTTGCATTTCTAAGTTTGAGTCCTCAGGACCTAGCACTTGTAGAGTGTCTGGCCTTAGAAAAGCGCTCAATAAATATCTGTTGAGATCACAATGAGTTATCCCCTATGGCTGAATAGTAATGACGTCATGAGCACGGCTCTACTTTTCACCACTCTGTGGCCTTAGCAGCGCTTTAAGTAATGGCCCGCCGGCTGGATGTGAATGTAATTCATGTTTCCTCTTTCAAACACAGCCCCCATTTCCAAAGATATTGGAATGGGAACCTCGCTGCCCAAAGCCATTGTTTTAGAGCTAGCTCCTGGGGCCACTGCATCATTATAGACCTTCATAATTGTGCCTATTTACAGTCAGGGAGGTGCTTTCAGGGGGAGAAGGTGGAGTGTGACTCTACTCCTCAACTGGCAACATCACATGGAGTTTGGCTCCATTTATCCCACACTGTCAAAACAGTTTCAATCAACTAGTTTTTTATTTTTTGAGACAGAGTCTCACTTTGTTGCCCAGGCTAGAGTGAGTGCTGTGGCATCAGCCTAGCTCACAGCAACCTCAAACTCCTGGGCTCAAGCAATCCTGCTGCCTCAGCCTCCCGAGTAGCTGGGACTACAGGCATGCGCCACCATGCCTAGCTAATTTTTTCTATATATTTTTAGCTGGTCAATTAATTTCTTTCTATTTTTAGTAGAGACGGGGTCTTGCTCAGGCTGGTTTTGAACTCCTGACCGCGAGCAGTCGGCCTGTCTCGGCCTCCCAGAGTGCTAGGATTACAGGCATGAGCCACCGCACCCGGCCCAATCAACTAGTTTTAATTTATTGATACTTTCATATAGAAGACTAGTAAAAAACAAAATCTCCAAATTTAGCAGTGGTGGGATTATGAGTGATTGATTTTTTTTTTTTTCATCCAGAGTCTTGCTCAGGCTAAAGTGCAGTGGAGTCATCATAGCTTACTGCAACCTTGGACCCCTAGGCTCAGGCGATCCTCTTGCCTCAGCCTCCTGAGTAGCTAGGGCTATAGGCAGGTGCCACCACACCTGGCTAATTTTCTAGTTTTTGTATAGACGGGGGTCTCACTCTTGCTCAGGCTGGTCTCAAACTCCTGGACTCAAGTGATCCTCCCACCACAGCCTTCCAAAGTGCTAGGATTACAGGCATGAGCCATTGCGCCTGGCCGTGAGTGATTTTTTGATTTCTTTATGCTCACGGTTCCCACCTTGCCAGAAGTTGTGGAACTGTAGCAAAGGAATCAAGATTATCAGAGGATCTCTGTATTTCTACAGCCAAATCAAAGGATGCTAAAGACACACTACTCTTCCTATAAAGGTCCTGATGTGCTTTTTTTTTTTAAAGGAAAGGGCCATAGTAACTTGGAAATGTTATACTTCTATGTTTTTGTTATATTTTAGTGACATGCACTTATTACTTTTTTAATGAGAAAGAAGTAGAATTAGCTTAATTTAATACCCTTTCCTCAAGAAAAATAAACTCGAAGCTACCATTTAAGTTGATGAACTAGCAGGAAAAGGTTGGGAATGGCTGTGGTCACGAGATCCTTCAAATGAACCACTGAGATCAGTCAACAAACATTTATTGAGCACCTTTTAGCGACTAGACACTGCTGGTACTGAGAGGAATAGCTTCAGGCAGCATTTCTCAAAGTATGGGTCCTCTGCCTGTCCGTAGCAGAATCACCCTGGGGGACTTGTTAACGTAAGATTTCTGGAATCCAGTGTAGACCACCTAATCAGAATCTCTAGGAATGGAGCCCCTGGGGAATTAGCATCTTTAAACATGCTCTTTAAATTATTCCTGTGCACATTCTAGTTTGAGAGCGCTACTTTAATGAGCAATTTTAACTGTAATGACTGGTTTTAATGAAACATGCCAGCAAGTATAACAACAAGATTTAATATCAGAACAAGATTTTAGTTTAGAAAATTGAGGGAATAGGGTTTCTTGCACAATAAAGCAGGGTGCACCTGGGCTATAAATCGGTGGTTTCTTAGGGAAGAAGGCATAGGCACCATGTCAAAGTGAGCAGATGCAATGTGTATGCAGGCCCTATAACAAGGGTCTTTTAAGAACTCATATGGTGGAGCAAAGCTTTGCGAGAAATAAGAAAACTCTGGTGCCTTTTGGAGATTCTCTAGGAATTAGAAAAAGCAACGTGCACCTTCCCCTCCTTCTGCTTTACAGAGTACACTTCGGTATCTGGAAAAGTTCTCACGAGCTTTGCCCACGCACATAACAGGCCCGCTGCATCCAGAATACTCACTCTGTGTCTTCCGAATGGTGTTCAGCAGTGGGTGAACCAAGGTGGTAACCTGTAGACATGTTTTCAAGCTGAGTTGCTATGGCACTTATATTGGTATCTGCTACAACCTGGGGGGAAAAGTTAGAACAAGATATTTCATTATAATTCAGGGGAGAATTAGAGATCATGCTCTATCCAATGAATGGTCAGTTCTTGGTCCTCATCTTATTCAACCTATCTGCAGTACTTTTTTTTTTTTTTTTTTAAAGGAAAGGGCCATAGTTCTGTTTCCTAGACTAGAGTGCAGTGGCGTCATCATAACTTACTGCAACCTCAAACTGCTGGGCTGAAGTGATCCTCTTGCTTTGGCTCTGAGTAGGTGGGACCACAGGTACACATCACCATGCCCAGCTAATTTTTCTATATTTTGTAGAGATGGGGTCTTGTTCAGGCTGGTATCAAGCCTCCTGTCTCAGTCTCCCAAAGTGCTAGAATTATGGGCGTGAACCACTGCACCTGGCCTATCTGCAGCATTTGACACAATGGATTATTGTCTCCCTTAAATGATGTTTTTCATTTGGCTTCCATGACACCATACTTCACTAGTTTCTTTGGCCCCTTCTGGCCATTCCTTGCTATCTTCTAAACCTCCAACTATCCCAGTGCCATCTAAACATATTCCCTTAGTGATCTCATCCCATCCCATCTTGTCTTATGAATTTAAATACCATTTACGTGATGACAATTCCTGAATCTATATCTCAACCTCCTATGTTTACTGAATTCCAGATCCACACATCCAATCACCGAGCTGACATCTCCAGTGGGATGTCTAGCAGGTATCTCAAACCTGACATGTCCCAAACTGAGCCCCTCCCCCTGCAACCTCTGCTCCTGTAGCCTTCCTCACCTCAGGCAAGTGCAACGTGGTCCTTCCAGTTTCACAAATGCCTTTGGTGTCACCTTTGACTCTCTCTCTCTTTCTCTTTTTTGAGACAGAGCCTCGCTTTGTTGCCCTGGCTAGAGTGAGTGCCGAGGCGTCGGCCTAGCTCACAGCAACCTCAAACTCCTGAGGTCAAGCAATCCTTCTGTCTCAGTCTCCCAAGTAGCTGGGACTACAGGCATGCGCCACCATGCCCGGCTAATTTTTTCTCTATACGTTAGTTGGCCAATTAATTTCTTTTTATTTAGAGTAGAGACGGGGTCTGGCTCTTGCTCAGGCTGGTTTCGAACTCCTGACCTTGAGCAATTCGCCTGCCTCGGCCTTCAGAGTGCACCTTTGACTCTCTTTCCCTCACAACCCACCTTCGATCTTCATAAAATTCTATTTGTCTATCTGCAAAGCATCCTTTTTCTGGAGTTCTACAATACCCTTCTCACTTGTCTCCCTGTGTTAGCCCTTCAGTTTATAGCAGCTACAAAGGTCCTGTTAAAATACAGCAGATTATTTGATTTCTCTGCTTAAAACTATCCTAAGGAAACCTGACTCTCTTGGGCACAAGCCGAAGTCGTTCCTATGACCTACCAGGCCATCTGTAGGTGATGTACCCTGTGGTGTCACTGCCTTTCCTCCTACCATCCTCCTTGGTGGTCCCTCTGCCCCACCGTGCGGGCCTCCCCGCTGTTGCACATGCCGGACACATCCCACCCCTGCACCTTCTCACGCCTGCGCCTTCTGCCTCCCAGAGTGCTAGGATTACGGGCGTGAGCCACCGCGCCCGGCCTAGAATAACGATATTTAACATTCACTTTACACCTGCATTCTGCAGATAACATTCTAAAGCATTCAGAAGAAACACAGTGTAGTTCTGAGGCTGCACGCTAGGACTCAGAATGGAGTTCCAGAGTTCAGTTTCTGCCACTTAATGACGTTGTGCCTGAGTTTCAGCTCCCTCATCTATTAAATAGCAATCATAAAAGCCTTCCTTGCCTCCTTATCCTAGAGCTGTCTTCTACCTCAACTAGTTCCCACAGCTTCTTTCTCAACAGCTCCTTGGTCACCCCTGCTCCGGATCCACAGTCCTGCTTCTAGATTACCATCCTCATTGCACAAGTACAGAGAGGACTTTCCTTGACAGCGCAAAGGAGCCTGGTTTGGCTGCAGTTTCAGAACAGGCCAACAGAGGGCAGGGCTGTCTAAATCGTGAGGCTCAGCAGCATCTGTTAAGAACACGGAAGGCAACAGCAGCCTGCCCCAGCTGAGTCAGTGCATGTTTTGGGTGAAGCATCCTATTTTTGGGGAAAACTGCTATGTACAAGTTACAGGATCTCCTGGAAATGCCATCACATGAACAACGACTTAATGAACTGGGGACTATTTAGGATACTTAGGTACAAAATGACAGATTCTTCCTGACTACAAAAGTCTTTCTTTCTCTTTTTTTTTGAGACAGGGTCTTGCTCTGTCTCTCAGGCAGTGGTGCAATCAAAGCTCACTGTAACCTCAAACTCCTGGGCTCAAGCGATTCTCCTCCCTCAGCCTCCCGAGTAGCTGGGACTACAGGCTCACACAACCCCGGCAATTTTTAAAAATATTATTATTATTTTTTTATTTTTTATAGAGATGAGGTCTTGCTACATTGGCCAGGCTGGTCTCAAACTCCTGGCCTCAAGTGATCCTCCCACCTCAGCCTCCCTTATACAAGCCTGCTTTGGCCACTTGTGTTTAATTTCTCCTGTTTTCCTCTTCACAGGACTCTCAAAATGATCCTCACAAATTACAGTGGTATATTTATTTGTGTGATGGTTCACTGTCTTTTCTACCCTATTACAGGATCTATGAGGACAAGGACTGCTTCTTTTAGCGCGACGTTAATGTGCCTGACATGTAACAGTTGGCTCAATAAGTATTTGTGGGGTGAGTGAATTAATCTAAAAATCTTCATGGGGAAAAGGAATATGGGTCTCAATTTTCCGAATTTCCACAGAGCAGAGTAAGCCTGAAAGAAGTTACAAGGAGATGGGTTTGGGGGTCTTTTAAGGAGGAGAAAAATATAACAATTAAAGCAGTTACAGTACGGAATGGCAGTTTGTTAGGACGTAAGCACCTCTTCAAAGTGAGCATTCAAATAGAGGCTCAAAACTGGTCAGTTCAGGAGTGGGAAAGGGGTCCCTGTGCTTCGTGGGAAGTGAGAGGGATGTGTCCTGTTAGCTCACCACGAGGCAGACTATCCACTGTGGGTCTGAGGAAGAAAGTCACTAAGTTTATACCTCTCCTTATTGTTAGGCACAGTGCTGCCTAGACATCTTGAGAGTGGTTAAGGTAGAAAATTCAATATGGAACTGCTGGGTGGTGGGTATGTGTGTATTAAATTTAACAGAACTTCCTAAGCTGCCAAATGGTTGCACCGATTTAAAGTCTCACGAGGCATTCAATGAAAGTACTTTGATTTCCCACATCCTCCCCAACTCCTGTTATTATCAAACATTTAATAATTGCCTATCTGAGGTGGAAGAGACCACTGGCCTGAAGGAAGAGGGAGCATTTCCCCACCTGAATGGGGGAGCCCACGGACCTGGTGAAAGAGGAGGAAATGCCCCACCAGAGGAGGGCTCCATGGAGCTTGGGGAAGAGGGGGATGCAGCCTGCTCCTTGGGGCCTAAGGAACAATCAGAGATGTTCGCATCTGTGGAAGAAGAACCAAAAAGCGTGTTTCCGTCCGGGCGCGGTGGCTCACCCCTGTAATCCTAGCACTCTGGGAGGCCAAGGTGAACTGATTGCTCGAGGTCAGGAGTTCAAAACCAGCCTGAGTAAGAGCAAGACCCCGCATCTATTATAAATAGAAAGAAATTAATTGGCCAACTAATATATAGAGAAAAAATTAGCCGGGCATGGTGGCGCATGCCTGTAGTCCCAGCTACTCGGGAGGCTGAGGCAGCAGGATTACTTGAGCCCAGGAGTTTGAGGTTGCTGTGAGCTAGGCTGATGCCACGGCACTCACTCTAGCCTGGGCAACAAAGAGAGACTCTGTCTCAAAAAAGAAAGTAAAAAGATACCACCTATTTAGTGTTTACCATTTGCAGTACGCTGTATTTATTACACACTTTACATCACACCTTATTTACTTCTCATAGCAAACTCTTAAGAAAGGAGCTATATATAATCCCTGTTTTAGAGGAAACTGAAGCTGAGACTTCAGTTAAGAGGATTCAAACTCACAATTTTCTGACACTAAAGCTTATTTCTTCTACAGACCCCTACACTAGCTCTTCCTTCCAACTTCCAAACCTTCAGGTCTCAGTCCTTTCCCTGCAGCTTATCACACTCTTCTTGGCATCTCTTGGCTTTCTATTCATGAACCATGTAGATTATTTGTTCTTACCTCTGGCTGCATATTAGAATCACCGAGGAATTTTAAAATCATCTGACGTCCATGCCGCATTTCAGACCAATTAAATCGGAAACTCTGCGGTGGGACTCAGCAATTGGCATTGAAATCAGTGATTTTTATTGTACGACCAAGGTTAAGAAGTACTCACAAACCATCCCTTTTATCAGGGGTTCTCAAACTACGGCCCGTGGGCCACATGCGGCCCGCCAAGGACATTTTTCTGGCCCGCCAGGTGTTTTTGCCGCCACTGCCTGTCCCGCTTAGCAGCCGACTCGCCAGGGCCCACAGTGCGCATGTGTGGAATGTGCGCTGCACTCTCCAACGGCCCTCCAACAGTCTGAGGGACAGTGAACTGGCCCCCTGTTTAAAAAGTTTGAGGAAAAATTCCAGTGTGAAACCATCTGGTCCAGGACTTTTCTTTTTAGGAAGGTTTTTTTATTGCTGTTTCAATTTCAGTACTTGATATTGGTCTGTTCAGGAATTCTATTTCTTACTAGTTGAGACTAGGGAGGCTGTATGTTTCTAGAAATTTGTCCATTTCCTCCACATTTTCCAATTTGTGTGCATAGAGGTTTTTGTAGTATTCATAAATTATATCTTGTATCTCTGGGGCATCAGTTGTAATTTCTCCTTTATTGTTCGGGATGGAGCTTATTAGAGATTTTTCTTTTCTGCTTTTTGTTAGTCTAGCCAGTGGTGTGTCAATTTTCTTTATTTTTTCAAAGAACCAACTTTTTGTTTTATTAATCTTCTGTATAGTTTCCCTGTTGTCAATTTTGTTTAGTTCTGATTTGATC